TTTTTACCAGAATATCATAGTGGAAAGAAAAGAGAGGCCCTTGTGATGTCTTCTAACTTTGTGTTATGTATTAAGCACCTAGTGTATACAGGGTCTATTGTATAAATGGTCACCAGTGTCCAGAGCTGGTCAGGCACAGCTATGATCCTTAATACAAGGACTCAAAATATTTATGCTACACGATCCTGTGCATTGGCTCCTATATTGTGGGCGGACAAATGGAAACACTTGCTACTTAAATGCACTTTGCATGTGTATAAGGGGAAAAAAATGAATGGGCTTATATGTAAGCAGAGACTCTTAAAAACATAGTGGGTGTCTGAGCAGATCCGTTTTCTTTAAAGGCTATTTTGATCAGCAATATTAAGTAACTCACCTCACTGATGGCCTCTGGAGTCCTCCTCATACTTAGGTTTAATGGAGCGTGATAGACACTTGTAAAAGTGTTGTTCTTGGGGTTATGGCTACAAAAAAGATACATACACATATCTGAGTCAACATAGAAATGTACTAATCCAACGTGACTACTTGTGGGACTATCTTCGAAGGCACAGTCAGTATTCAATCAATAAATATAAAGCTTAATAACTGAGTCAGTGATTCTCTAGGCCATGAGTTTTAAAGGGGAAAAACAACAAGCCAAAGAATTTCCACATATACAAATCAAAGACCAAATTTAACTGAAACTGACCATTTAAAAACTTGCTGAAAAAATAGAAAAGGATTCTGTAATTATTTGATTGCAAACTTGATACGCATATCTGTAGCAAACACATTGTTCTGCACATAGTAACAATTTGACATTCAAAATTACAGTTTGATAGATTAGCTCTTGGACTTTATAGAAATTTGAAATTTCCAATCCTTTCTGTCTACCACATAAAATGCCACCTAAGTCTCTTCAAGGGTTGTATGTAAGTGAAAACGTTTGGGAAGACGTTTAACCCCTGAGTTGACATTTGAACCTACTTGGCTACTTGTTATAAAACAAAACTCAAGAGGTGTCTCCCACACTTACGCATGACAGTATGGCCTTTTCTGGTGACTCACAAAGTTGTTAACCGATAGCATCATCTTGCAGACTTCACAGTGAAAGCACGCTTTATGCCATATCTGGAAATCATATAGAAAGATTTAGTAAAATTACCTTTGCTTTCAGACTCAGGATTGTTACGTATTTCAGGGTAAGAAATTGCGCTTCAGGGATAAAATGATAACATAAATATTGGCTAAATAAAATAGGTTAATAAATAGATCTCACAAAACACACTGCCATCAAGTCGGATCCGACTCACAGTGACCCCTTCTTGGGTTTCCAAGGTGGTATCGCTACGGAAGTAGATTGCCCAACCTTCCTTCCAAGAAGTGGCCGGTGGTTTTTAACCTCCAGCCTTCTGATTAGCAGTCAAATGCCTTAGGTACTACACCACCAGAGCTCCTAAATAAATAAATGCTTTTTTTTTTTTAAATGACATAAGAGAAGACATAGAAATGGGTGGAACTCAAAAAAGTCAGGAAAAGACATCTTTTTCTTGTGTCTTAAAAATCACAACATGCCCATATGTGAGAAGGTAAATTTCCCATGTTTGTTATCCCCAGAGGTCAAGAAATACCCACTGACCTGATCTATACAGCTGATCTTCTCAGCAGGATAAACCCCATATCCACATCTAGAGCAAGCCTGCACATTCATCTTGAAGTCAGAAGAAAGAAGACAAAGACAGGCAACAGGCGAGAAATCCAAGGAGAACCCCCCAGGCTAGTTGATCCAATCTCCAAAATGTCAACGACTATTAAATCCCTATGGCCACCTTGATCACTCAGAACCCAACTTCCACTTCCCCTTGCTGACCTTCTACTTTGAAGTCAGCAGCTGGATGGTTTTTAAAGCTGCCACTTACTCAAGGGGCTATTTTGGCCACTGGCTCAGCACGCATGCGCCCAGGAAATAAGGTGGAGATATTTCTAGCTGACACGTTTCTCTAAATAGAAAAGTGAACTCACAACAGCATCACATGTATGTGGATGACCAAATCTTGGTGATGACCAGGCAGCAGTAACAGTTCAACACTAGCTGTGATCATAACCCAAGAAAAGTGCCTATGGGAAAACACCATGCCCTCCTCCAATGATCGAATTAGAAAAGGGTGTTCTAGGAGTCTGACTCAGAAAAAAGGGCAGCTCCCAAACTAGAGGAAATAAAAAAGGATTGGTCCACTCCATTAGAAGGTAAATATCATGTTTGAGTTTTAGCCTTATCTATTAGAAATGTTTACAACAGTGAGACTGAGGAATGTATTAAGCTATTCATTTGAGTTAGTTTTTGCTGGAATGGGAAAATCAAAACAAATGAGAACACTCTGATTTGGTTTTGTATCTTGTCCTAAACCATTCCAAGAAAGCCTTGCCTCAAAGGCCTAAAACAGAAGTTACTTGAAGACAAAACCTCTCCTCTTGGCTTCAGTGGCTCCTTAAATTTCACCTTGGTGTTAGCTGCCACCAAGGCAATTCCAACTCATGGTATGTTACAGAATAGAACCACTCCACAGGGTTTTCTTTGCTGTAATCACAATAAAAGTAGATTGCCAGGCGTTTCTTCCACAGTTCCACAGGGTGGGTTCAAGCTGCTCACCTTTAGGTTAGCAATCAAGAGCAAATCATTTAGACCTTAAATGAAATGGCACCTCACCTGTCCCCACCACTCACCCATCACCTTCTGTTACCACTCCCTGCTTTACAGCACTTCTTCATAGCAGTTATCACTACCTGAATACTAAACATGAACACATCTGTTTTCTTTTCAATATCTGTCTCCCTCATCAAAATATAAGCTCCTCCAACACAGGACCAAACAAAGTACCTACAGGAGCCAGCTGTGAAGGACAGTGTATGATTAAGCACCAGGTGGCAGATACAACCATGTGAAGTGGACAACCAACCCCTCCTCAGTCCCAGCCAATTGTTGCTCTGACAGAATCAGCACCCAGCATTGCCAGATATTCTGATTTTTCCGGAGTAGCCAGAAATCTGCATTTTCTTATGAAATCCCATTTTTAACACACTTGAAATAAGACAATGAAACAGGGACATGGGCAGTATTTGGCTGGCTGGCTGGCTATCCATTTGTGACCCTTGAGTTACACTGGTGTCCCCAGGTGGGGTGGCAAGAGATCAGTCAAACTGAGTGCTGTGTTGTAGGAGTGAGGTGTGGGAAAGGAGGAAGCACCCAGGAAGTGAAGAACAGTCGTGTTTACATGGGACTGGAGAGACAGGGTGGTGTCTGAGACCTTCCCAGATCGTGGGGCACAAGGAGTGTGGATTGAGCCCTAGCAGGATGCTAAGCTCAGCAGTGCCTCCCACGCTGAAATGTGACATGGGCAGCAAGGTGGCCACCAGCCTGAGCAAACAGAAACACTCACCAGCACAGACAAGTAACAGACACCAGAAAAACAAAACCAAGAGGGCTCCCCAGATTTTTGCTCTGAATCAGCCTTACCTGGGAAGTGAGATAGGAGCCCTAATAACACTGATAAGGAATCAGGGTCAGACTTGATTTAAAGAAAAAGCTATGTAATATTTTTTCCTCTGCCTAAGGTTGTGATTGCAACCCATACCCGCTATGACTTCTTTGGCCACACTTATAAAAAGGATTACTAAAATGTAAGATGTTAAATTTAACTTGTACCATCCCTCCTGCTTATTCTAACAAAACCAAAACCAAACTCACTGCCATCGAGTCGATTCTGACTCATAGCGACCCCCTTTGGGTTTCCGAGGCTGTAAATCTTTGAGGAAGTAGATTGCCCAGTCTTCTCCTTCCGTGGAGTGGCTGGCGGGTTTGAACCACCAACCTTCTGGCTAGCAGTCAAATGGTTAGGCACTATGCCACCAGAGCTTATTAGGGTATCTGAAAATGAGGAGAAACAACCCCATAGAACTAGAAATGGAACAGTTTAAGGAACTAGACATAAACACTTATTGCTGGGGCAAGATAGACACAGCCCTCGCCTGCTTGCTCAATATTGTGATTGGTGTTCTCAGTGTCCATTCCACCCTGTATAGATGCATCCTGTCCACCCTGTATAGCCATATCCTGTATCACCACTGCCCTCTTTGGCTTAAGCACCTCCCCCTGGTCTCAGTGAATACATCAAGCCTAAGCCAATCAGCCAGCACACAACGTTCCCCTGGCTTTAGGGATTGGTTCAGACAGCATCTATATCAGCCTGGGTTCCCCAGGAAAGCGTGTTTGAGGCAAATGCTTATTTGCAAAGACTTTATTCAGAAGTATAATCCCAGGAGGAGCTCTGGTGGCATAGTGCCTGAGGCATTTGACTGCTAACCCTTCTGGCTGGCAGTTCAAACCCACCAGCCACTTCTTGGAAGGAAAGTTGGGCAATCTACTTCCATTGTGATACCACCTCGGAAACCCAAGGAGGGCTCACTATGAGTCGGATCCAACTCTCCAGCAATGAGTTTTTAGTTTTAGATAATCCCAGGGGGCAGGAGGAAGGAGGAGGGAAGGAGAAGAAGGAAAGCCAATAGGAGGGCTTCCTCTCACCATGGCCACCACCTGATGTAAAGTAACAAGGATCATTTCTCTATCACCCAAGAGGCCATGAAAACAACTGCTACTCAGGAACACCTTCAAGGGGAGAAGAAAGTATTTATCTTTTGGCTTCTGTCTCCCACTGGGGACAGGTTTGTCCTCTTGGGTGTTAACTCCTCTACACGCCACACTGTGGGTGTGCAGATTCCCAGAGAGTCCCACAGCACATTATGCCTCAAGATCAACAGGAAAAAGCCAATGACAGCAGAAAACTAGAAACACAGTTGGTCTGTGTCCATGTGAAGTTGGCCAGGGTCCACACACAGCTTGTTGCTAGAGCAAGTAGGCAAAGACCCTGACATAGGTGAGCCTGAGTGGGTCTAACATGGCAACTGAGAGGTGTCATATGCACAGCACAGTCAGCGGAGAGTCTAAGACTTGGGTTTGGTGGTGGTGAGCCAAAGCCAGATCACGTAGTTTTATCTTCCTTCATCTGGGTGCTTCTGCCAAAACCACCGCCTGGTGCTGTAGCTTTTAAAAAGCCTTGACTCATAAGGAGCTTGTCATCAATGAAAAATACCCACAGGCTTTTGCTGCATATAAATGACTATTATATATAGTATGTGGGCAGTTCCTTTCCTTTGGGAACTTAAATGTAGCACTTCTTACTTATCTCTTTTAAATTTATCTGTTGATGGTGGCTCCATCACTTCCATCGGTCAAGATATTTTTGAACCTTGGTTATGTCATCCAGGATATGAACTAACTCTTTCTAACTCTGAATCATGTCCAGTACCCTCCAGGACTGTGGATGTGAAATGGTTCAGAAATAACAGAGAGACGAGAAACTCAAGATGAGGGAAAAGCTTCTGACACTTCACTCTGTCGCTGTTGCTCTCCTTGGGGGTTTGTGCCTCCCTTGGTTAAGGTTCCCTCAGAAGCTGAGCTTGAGAAGAAGAACTTGGCTGGTGGTTCAAACCCACCAGCCACTCCTCAGAAGGAAGATGAGGTGATCTACTTCCGTAGTGATACTGCCTCGGAAACCCAAGGAGGGGTCGCTATGAGTCGGGTCTGACTCCACGCACATAACAACAACAACAACAACATGATGAAGGAGTGAAGGTTTGAGGTGAGTGAGTTAGGGAAAGAAGTTAATAAAGGGTTATAGTTAATAAAGGGATATTTTGAGCGAATCACTGCCATGGGCAACTCATTCTTGCGGGGGACCCTGAGGAATCCTGTAAAATGTCCTTGAGAATTGTCCCACTCAAGGACAGGAGGCTGGGGCACTTATCCACTCAACTCCCATCCACCATTGGTTGAGGATTACCGCCAGGGGTTTTAACTCTCCTGCACCTAGATGAGCACATCCAGCTTCAGAGAAAGCCCAGACTCGGGGAATCTGAGCAGACACTGAGGACACTGCTATGCAAGGGGGCAAAATCAGTGGGGCAAGGTGATGCAGCACGGGGCATTCCAGGAGTACACCACTCAAAGAAACAGGCTGGAGGGCAGGAAAAGGAAAGTGATAGGAGATTCACCAGAACTCCTACTGCTCCTACTGCTCACTCTTCCAGGTTGATGGGATCCTTCTGGCCCAGTTCTCAGAGGCTCCTTCCACTCTGTGCACTGTGCAAGCTGCTCCCATGACTGTCCAAGCTGCTTCCATAACTCAAGACAGAGAATTCACAAAGCAGTGCCCTTTGTCTCTAGGTCTCACACCTTCCCAGGTCTGGCCTCCCCAGCCCCAACCCTTGGAGCTTACAGGTGTCCTGGGGCACGTTCACATGGAGTTAGATGGGGGCAGGGTGAAGTTCTATGGCACCACTGATGGGGGCGTGGCTTCAGAGAGCAGTCTGTCTATGCTGCAGTTAATGACGCCTGGGTACTAGATGCTGGTGATGACAGGAAGACAGCATCTACTCATCTACTGGTCTGGGAAGCTCTGGACAGGAGCACTGTTAACTAATGCCCAGGCTTCAGCCCAGGATGTTAAGTGGTCCATCTAGTAACGTTATAGAAATATTTTGCCTCCCTTCAAGTGGTCAAGTGCTTGGCTGCCAACTGAAAAGTTGGGGGACCGACTCCACCAGCTTCTCTGCAGAAGAAAGACGTAGCAGTCTGTTTCATAAAGGTTTACAGCCTTGGAAACTCTATGGAGCAGTTCCAGTCTGTCCTAGAGGGTCACTGTGAGTCAGAATTGACTCCATGGCAAAGGGTTTGGCTTCAGGTTGGCAAAAGAAAGTACTTAAGGAGTCAGTTCTATTTTCACACAGCAGACAAAAAAGATGAATTTGGAGCTGAAAGGCAATCAATCAATAATAGGTACCAAAGGAATTCTTCCTTCCAAGAAAGAAAGGAATTCTGCCTGGACTTTGAGTGGGAAACATGCCTCATTGGTAGGTTTGAGCTTTCCCACTCATCTCCCCCACCCCATCCCCTCACTGACTCACCAGTGGCCAGAGTGTGGGTTTGGGCCCAAGGTGGTGAAGGGTGGCATTTCTGTTAATCTTGGGACATATTTCTGTGGAGCCATAGCCTGGGCTGAGTTGTCCTGTGAAGAATTGGAGAAGCAACTGCTAGTGGCACCATTTGGGGGTGCTGTGACCAGTGGTCAAGGGTTGAGTGCTGGCTAACCAAAGTTAGCAACAGCTGCCTGGTGACCAGCGGAGAGGGCAGAAGGCAAGGTCTAGAGGGATTGACCCATGAGCCCCCTGAGACAAGCCCTTAGGAATCCATCCAAATAGTGGGGACTTAAGGGGATTTTTCTGGAAAGATGGGGAAGGCTGATGCTATAATCAGGTAACTGTCAAAGGCAGGGAGCTCTGGTGGTATAGCACCTAAGGCATTTGACTGCTAACCAGAAGGCTGGCAGTTCAAACCCACCAGCCACTTCTCGGAAGGAAAACTGGGTAATCTACTTCCCTAGTGATACCATCTCAGAAAACCAAGGAGGGGTCGCTATGACTTGGAACTGACTCGATGGTATCAAAGGCAAACATAAAATAATTACATGGTCCAAGGCTATAGAAACACAGGAGATGCATTTAAAAGAGAATATCCTCCAGTTCCAAAGTGTCAGTACAATTACTACTGAGGAAAAAGTTCAGATTCATTTATTTCCTTCCATGTTTCCATGATTTTCCATGATATGGCATGAATCCAGAATCTCAGCAGTAACTTTGGAGTTCCCCATTCCAGCCCACAATAAAGAACTGAAAATAAAAATTTTTCCTTCAAAGCACCTTTCCCTTTGAGCCAGCAATGAGTTTTTAACACGTTTTAAGACTCACATGACATGACTTTTCTTGTGGATGGTAAATTCATTCTTTTTCTAGGCAACCTGATTCTGACACTAACCTGAACTTGACAACTTCCCTGAGCCTCAATTCTTTATCTATAAAATGAGCAATGAGCAGGGGATTAGTTGCTAGAATCTCTTCCAACTCTAATGCTGTGTTATACTACATCCCAGGAAGAACCTGCAAAACTTGGATTTGCAAATTAGATAAATGAGAGAGTAATTTATTTGTTTTACTGATAGGATTCTTCATTTTTCAAATGATTCTCAACAGAACCCCTTTTTTAAAAAAACAGTCTTCGTGTCCAAAATGAACTAGGTCACCATCACCGTGTCAGGGACATGGGCATTAAATAGTATAACTGCGTGTTACAAATATTCAGGAATTAAGGATTTTTGCGTACCTTAATCAACCATAGTCAATTACTCCCTTACACTCGCCCAGGCCGCCTTTCTTCAAATCAACAGAGTGCCCTTGCCCAGTGAAATGTTAGAGACAACAGTGAAGCCCAGGGGAAAGCAGGCAAACAAACAAAAAGCTCTGGTGGCATAGTGCCTTTGACTGGTAACCAGAAGGCTGGCAGTTCCAACCCACTAGCCACTCCTGGGAAGGAAGGTGGATACTGCCTCAAGTTGAAATCAATTCAATGGCATAGTACAACAATTCTTACCTGGTGTCACATCACAGAGACTCTGCTCTTTTAACTCAAGGCTTTGAGAGGTTTTTTTAAAAGCATCTACCATTGGTATGAAATAAACGATGATTTCTTCTCAGCTGTTTACACCTCAGTGTGACTGAGTTAAGCAGTTGCTCTCCCGAGGGGTCTTGGGAGAAAGGCATCCCAAGCTTCAGTTGGAAGCCCAGAGATGCAGAAAGACTGGAGCTGGAGGGAGAGAGGTAATAGGGAGGAGCAAAGGGGAAGTGGAATCATTGGACTTGAACTCCCTTCCTTGATTTATTCCTGGCCACATACGCACCGCCTGACGCATGGGGGCGCTCAATAAATATTTCATGAAAGATTTTGGCGCTGCTTTGCGCAAAGCTGGCTGTGTGGCGAGGTTGGATTTTAAGAGAAAGCTGAGTTGTCACCCTCGCGCCCACGCGCCAAGGAGGGCAAATTTGCGAGTGGAAGTAACGTCCGGGCGTCGGTAAGACCTCGGATTCCACGGTTAGCTGGAGAGGGCTAAGGTAACTGTTTCAATTACTGGCGCGGACCCGTCCGAGTGACAGGAGCAGCACAGACTGGGGTCAAGCGTCTGGCTGGGAAAGAGCCTTCCGCTCTGGGAACTCGGTCCTCGAGGTGATGCGGTGGCCAAGATCGAAGTTCTTCACTAGGGGCAGCCGTGGGTGGTGGCGTTGGGAACTGAGGGTGGGCGCACGTTGCCCCGGGATCACTTTGCGCGCCCCTGAGTCTGCAGGGCGCACTCTTCAACTTGTGTGAGCCCCAGCAGCGTTGCGCGCGGCTAGCTTTGCAGGGAACACTCTCCTCGGTCACTGGGAGCGCGGCCAATTTTGCAGAATATACAGTTCTCGGGGTTGTGCGCGCTACCGCGGGATTTAACTCTGCAAACTTTGTCCAGTGCGCTCTGGCGTGCGCGCACTTTGCAGAGCACACTCTTTGGGGGCGAGGCGCGCTTTCTTCGGTCAGTGCGCGGCTCAGCCCGGGCCACTTTGCGCATGTCCAAGTGTTTTTTTCAGCGCGCGCTCTCTCTGGACGGCACCTGCTCTCTCTGAAGGGTGCGCGCTCTTCCCCGACGGTGCGCCCACTTCCGACCGTGACACAGGACATCTTACGAGCTGCCAACTTGGCGGAGCCCCGCCCGGCTCCTCCCCCTGCAGTGAAGGGGCTTTTACTTTCGCTTTCGCTACAGCGGACCGAGATCCCAGGGTCTGAGGGACTGAAGCAGCTGCTAGTTCCGTCCAACCGTCGGTCTTGGAAAAGGTGACTGCGGCCCCTTGCTCCGACCGCGCTCTTACGCCTTTCCGCTGCGCGCTTCCTCCCTCCCCTCTCCTCTCTCTTCCCCCCTCCCTTCCTCCCTACTCTGTCTCCCCGCGGAGTTTCCGCCGCCTCGAGCGAAGTTTGGGAACCGCCAGACGGGAGGAGGACGGCCTGGACGTCAGATGCTGAAAATTGGGTGGAGGGCTCTCCCTGCTCCTGGCATCGCCTGCCGTGCTCGGCTTGTCCTCCCCTCTCTGAATAACACGGGGCTTGGGATACCGCTTTCATTCGGGATGCGCTAGAAAAGGAGGGATGGAGTTGGAAGAGAAGCAAGGGTGAGCTATTGGGCATCACGGTTAACTGCGAGGGCTCCGGGGTGAGACAGGCCTGGGTTCCAGTCTCCACGCGCCTACTTACCAGCCCTGTCTGTGCCTGTCTGGTAAATGGGAATGACGGGGATATTGGGCTGACTTTGGCTGCGGGCATGGAAGGAACCACAGCCCAAGCTCAGTACGTGCGCGCAACTATCGTCATTGTTGGGGTATCCTGCCAGCGGGGCTCGGAGGGGGGCTTTGAGATGGTGTAAAAGGCCGGCGAGGTTTAGTGCTATGAACTCTCAGGCCGCAGGTGACCTTGCAGCCCTTCATCCTTGTACCCAGCTTTGCAGTTTATGGAGCAGTAAAGCTGCTCGTCGGTGGCTCTGGAGAGCCATTCCCCGCCTGAACACCTGGCTATAGCATACGTGGCCCTGAACGTTGTTTAGTTATCGACTATTTCCTCCTTCGGGAGTCTCTTTCAGCCTGACCTTAGTCCTCGTTATCACAGCCTGGCTTCGTAATCCATTTTCGATATTCCTTTACTGTGAGGCGTTGAACAGGTTCCTCAACCTCTCTGCAGAAACCTAGTTTTCTTGTGCAAAACGGGGGGCATCGCTCCTGGCGGTGCTGTGAGCAGGTGACACAGTGGAGCACTTGGGTGCCAAGCAGAGCTGCCCAGGTGCAGAGGTAAGAGGTGAAGGTGGCTGGCACTCTTCTCTTTGAGCCTTTTAGGAATATTGACTTTATTTTGTCAAGAAGCGTGACACACACGGTATTGTATCGCTTTTTAGGGAAAGCAGCTGCAATCAGTCTGTTTCCTCCTCATGATACAAAAAGAGAAAAATCCAAGTTCAGACAGTGGCTGGGAGGTGATTTCTTACCCAGCCGTTTGTGCCACTTGCCCCGACCTTCCTTCCAAGGAGCGGCTGGTGGGTTTGAACCTCCAGCCTTCTGGTTAGCAGTCAAATGCCTTAGGCACTGTGCCACCAGAGCACCCCCAACATGGAGCCAGTAACTAAGCGCATTTAGAAATAATCGCTAGAGACATTTTTTCTCTCTCCATAGAGCTGTTTAAAATATGGATGTGGTTTTAAAATACTGGTGAAAGTTGACAGTTGAATGTCTTCTTAGTCCTGAGTTCTGTGGACAGTGGTGACAATAGGTATATTTATTGGATGTTCACAACGTGCCACAGTGTACTTAGCATTTTATACGTGTCGTTCCCTTTGCCTTCACAGCCGCCTGGGGCTTAGGTGCGTGGCGTGCCCATTTTACAGATGAGGAAACAGACGTTGAGTGCTTTGTTTAGGTCTGGGGGCTAATCCGTGGAGGGGCTGATTGGACCCCAGGCTGGCTGGTTGCTGTGCCTCTACTCTCTCAACGGCCCTCTTGTTCCTTCAATTTTGTTGTATGTCCTCCATCGGCAGTTTATTCCAACACTGAAGGATTTAAAAATGCATGTCAGCCGTAACACTTGTGAAGACATATTTCTTGAGTGCCTGCTGTGTGTACATGGCACTTTTCTGTGACTGATAAAAGAAAGATGAGTGAGGTAAACTCAATCTGCCAATGGTTATACTGCTAGTCGATGTCAGTATTAATGATGATGGCACAGCTAACAGTGGCACTGTGAGTGCTTTGTATGTATCATATTAACATAGTTAAAGAGAAGATAGACGTGTTTAACCATCGAATAAGCAGTATCCCTCGAGGGCTGCTCTTTGCAGTGGGGGCCTCAAGAAGGGGATAGATAGAGGGAACTGACGCCTGCAGGCTGTCTCCGATGCCACGGCTGACTGAGGTAGGCCTGGATTTTCTTGGTGTGCCGTGAGGATAAACAGAAATAAGGGACCAAAACCAAGTCTTGGTTCTCAAGGCAGCTTCTTCCTTAACAGAAGTGATGTGGCCTGTGATTAGGCACTCCACTCACTCACCTCCCCTACCCCCACCCCCACCCCCGGAGTCTAAATGCTCTTTGGATATTTCTAGAAATCAAACTCAGCCTCTTGGGGATAAGAATGTAACTGAATGGTTAGCCTTGCAGATTCAGACGGGTAAAGTACCACTGGACTTGTCTTAGAAATCTGCTCTGGCAGGACTGGAAAGAACACTTTCTGCTCCCCAGTGTTCAGCACCAACTCAGAGGGAGGCTGTAGGTTTCAAAGAGACTCTCAGGGCCTGGTGTTTGGAGGGAAAGCTTCTCACCATTGGAGCTGTGGAAATCCACCTGAACCGAATGTCCCTGTAGTGACAGTTGGGCAAGTGTCTGGGAAGGAGGAGGGATTAGGTGGATATCTCACCTGGGCCATGTGCAGTTCCCTGTAACTTGAACTGCCCCCTTGCCGCTCCACGTCCTGCCCCTTATCTAGTTAATTCCTGTTAGTTGTACACATCTCAAGGCAGACATTTCCACCCCTGCCAACCTTTCCTGTCTCCTCTGAGGCTCCGTCGGGTCCACTGGTATGACCATGATTAGTTCTGCCCTCGTGGCAGGCACCACAGTCACAGCTAGATATTTACACTGTCCTTTTATCAGTGTCTGTCCTGCTGAGGCAGGACCGCATCACTTTTGCTTCTGGTGTATGCCTGGCTCCTAGCACTATGCTGCTGTGTTACAACTCCAGTGAGCGTTTGTGGGAGAGAGTTAGGGAGAGAGGTGAGTTTCTGAGATTCTGCGCCCCCCCAAACAGTGTGCAAAAACTGCTTGGCTTCTCAGGAGACACTATGCTGAGGGTTGTTTTGTTTTCAAATGGTCACACTGCTTTATGCTCATATATCCTAGATTCAGCCTTCAAGATGAGCTTCAGTGAAAGGCTCAAGGCCTAAACACTGCGTGTATCTTTTTCTGGTGGATTTTGTATAACTCTAACTTCCTGATTTTGAAAACACATGAGTGCTTCATTAGTAGCAATGCACACAGAGAGTAACTGAGTCTATATAAAGGGAATAAAATACAAATTCTGAGTACTTCCTACGTGCCTGGCCTTGTGTGTGCCTCCTCTGCAGATGGAGTGTCTCTTTTTTAAGAAACATTTTGGGTCTTAATCTGAAAAGTCCATTCCCAACTGGAAACACAGTGGTGGTGATGTGAGGTTGATGATGTGTTAGGAACAAGATGGCCGCCTGACTTCTAACGGTCATTGTAGAGATCTGGCCATGGGACTCTACTTCCCTCTCGTTCCTCTCCCTGCTGCTCAGGTAAGCTGGAGAGTGATGTGGCAATGCCCCTTGGAACTTGAGGCCACCGGTCATCATCTTACCTCCTTAGACACCTCCCCCATCCTGAATTCCTTCTCCTTCCTATCTCCAAAAGTTTACGAACCTTGGCAGATGGCCGGTAGTTTCTTGTTCCAAGTGAATATTTAACAAAATGGTGGATGCTAGACTAAAAGTTCCCTGAGGCCATGAACTTTGTCTGGTTCCCTGCTGCACACCTGGTCTCTGGGACAATACTTAGAATATGGTGGGCACTCAGACATTGGGTGAACCAATGATGCCGTAACCCTGGAGCCTGAATTTGCTAAACTGCTCACCCCTAGGCTTAACTAGAGTCTGTGTCAGGTAATGAGTTGTATTTAAAAATGTCACAAGATTGGTGATGGCCCCTGATACTGATTTTCTGGTGCCTCTTTCTCTCCCAGATGGCAGATGACCAGGCCTGTGTTCTGGAGCAGGGAGTCGGGGACTTAGCAGAGTCAGATGCAATCGACGCCAAGCCAGACCGGTCCTCATTTGTCCCATCATTCTTCAAGTAAGTCATCTTCCCTGCTGGTTAATCAGGTCACAAAATGGAGGGCAACTACATCATTATGTAACTGACAGATTACAGCATTACAGAACTGCCAAACCCCTGAGAATCATGGCCCAGCCAAATTGACACATAATCTTAACCATCACAGCTAGCATTACTCTCGCCTTGCACCTTGGCATTCATTGCCAGACATATGTCATTAACACGCAAAATAGTTGGATAGTAGGTTTTTTACAGTTGTTATAAATGTGAAACATCAGATGATGAGATAGTTGGTAAGTGAGGAGCAGATGTCCTTCTGGAAAGTTACTTATTGGAAACACTGTGGAACACAGAGGTACTCTGGGACATGTTGTCACTAGGAGTGAGGAGTGACTTGACAGCTCAAGAGCAGTATAGCCTTTGAGAATAACCAGGGTGGGAAAGAGACAAACTCCTTAAACAAGATCTGTCATCATCCCCATATAAGTGAACCTGGAACATCCCAATGCAGGCTCAAAGACCCCATTTCTAATGTCTAATGCCTTTTGAAAGTCATAAGTAAGCAGGAACCCCCGCCACAGTGACTCATGGGTAGTGATATTTCAGTTGTCCCTTTGTTAGACGCCCTAGGAGTTTCCCCATCGTGTAAGATTTAGGCTGAGTAAGGAGAAGTGGGAGAAAGGAGACCAGGATAGGGGAGGTATTATCTCAGAGCAGTTGTAGGAAAAAATACAAATGGAAGCTGAGGGTCTGCTAATAAATTCCCTTAAAATTGAATTGTCTGTGTTTGCATCCTTTGGAAAGTCTTTCAGTACCCATTTGGACCTCTGCCTAAAGGCCTGTATTGTGGCATAGTGGTTTGCTTCCCACTCCTTTTAAAAGGTTAAATAAGCCTGGATAATTTCCTACATTTGGATTCATTGTGCCTTTTTTAAAGGAGCTCTGGTGGTGTGGTGGTTAAGGCATTTGGCGGCTAACCAAAAGGTCAGCAGTTCAAACCGAGCTAGCCACTCCACAGAGGAAAGACGAGGCAGTCTGTTTCCTTAAAGATTTACAGCCTTAGAAACCCAGTGAGGGTCGCTATGAGTTGGAATCAACTAAATGGCTGTGAGTTGGTTTGGTTTTTTGGTACCTTTTTAATAACATGACTAAGTTTTATATTATCAAAATAAACAGTAAGTAACTCTGCAAAATAGTTCAGTTCCATATTCTGAAATGCTTACCTTAGCTGTATGAATTATAAGACATGACTGTTGGGTTCCTAACAATAAACAAATAGCAGTTTAATGTCTTTTTCTTCCAGGCTTATTTATTCCAGGGGCTTATTTTCTCTACCTTTTCTAGGCATACAACTCTACCCACGTGTTAGATGATCCACTAACCACCTATTAGGAATGCAGTCAATATGAATAAAATTCCATTAGGATTTGTGACATAGCTTCAACATGTAGATTTTTTCCTTCCATTTTTTTGCCAGTATTGCCAGATTTA